AATGGCTACGCTTTAAAATTAATGTAAACTTTAACGTTTTTGTCTATTATTTGTTTAGCAATTTATATTTCAGTCGAGGATTGCGCTTTTTTTGATACACCCTGTATATATATATATATATATATATATATATATATATATATATATATATATATATATATATATATATATATATATATATATATATATATATATATATATATATATATATATATATACATATATAATATGACTTGCGCGCTCAATGTTCAAGGTATCATTCTTAGGCTCCATTTTTAAAATTTTTTTTTAGTTTTTTTTCAAGTTTTTTTGTTGTCAACATTAGTTATTTGCTTTTTCTTTTTCCCTTCTATTTTAAGAGGCTCCCAGCCTAATACGTAAAGCAATCGTATCAGTATTCGTATGATCTGCATCATTTTTCATGTTCGTTAGAATTCGTGCAAATATGTTTTGTAGTTTTTGGAGCCTTTTAGATTGTTTCCTCGAAAACTCATCCTATACTTCACAACAGTAATCGAAGTATGGCCGAACGATGGAGTTGTATTCTGAAAGTAAATTATCTTTGTCAACAAACTTCCTGAGGCAACGCAGAGCTGATATTCTAGCTGCGTGGCCGCGGCCACGTGTGCACGGAACTTCTGTTATCAAGTTGGCAAGTACGTCATTGATGAGCAAGTGACCAATAGGATGCAACAATGTCAAAAATGTGGCCTGATGGGCATGAATTATTCACGATCGCGTGTCGCGTGGACTTTGTTCGAGAGATAATTACTTATTAATCTTTATGCCATATACTTGTTGATCATCGAGCGTCTGTAGGCAAGGAGTTATTATCTCTGAAGGTACGTGCAGTTATATAGTTTGAATACTGTACAGTTTAAAGATTGATTTTTAACTGATACTGTTCCCGTTTAGCTATCTCTTAGTCTTCCCGTTCTCACGGTACGTATGATTAAAGCAAAGGCACTTAAGTGGCTGAATAGATGCCGAATAAACATATGCATTTAATACTGGCGGGTGGTCAAGACATGTCCAAAGGCTGAATTACGTTAAATGAATGTTAGTTTAGGGAGAATTTGGTGAAGTTTTCTACTTTAGAAGGATATAAAGCAATATTTAGTGATACCAAAGGCAAACGTACTTTAACTTGAGCATGTTTGCACATGCTGTTGCGCAATATAACTTACGACAGACATCGTAGTTTAGCAAGCAAGCTAGCAATTAATGCATAACAGCGGGTTTAAATATTAGGTGGGGCTTTAAAGTAAACTAGATGTTTTAAAACATACGAAAATGCGAGCATAAAAGATTATAATAGTACAATTTACAGTTTACCCTTTGGTACTTAAGTATTTAGCTGTATAATATTGTATTTCAACTGGCATTTGATTTGTCGGAAGATTCGAATACGAAATCGTGAGACCGTAAGTTAAAGATTGTATTTACGAGCTCAGAATAATCTGTGGTGAAATTTAGGTTGATTCCAACCGGGGAGATTTCGCAACTCCGCCGAAAGAGATTTAATACCGAGCCTATACGTATTACGTAAGATTATTTAGCATGTAGATTGTAGGAATGATGTAGAAGCCGAAGGTAAAGCTGCCAACAAAGGCAGAAAAGCGATAATATATATCAACAATATTCCAATGAAAATATATCAAACAAACTATATATATAGCTTTATTTTAACTATGGCTAATATCAAAAAAAGTTGGACTGAAAAAATTTTGAACCTTGCACTAAAAGAACGTACCAGACACGCAGCCTCTTAACGAATTCCGATTAAAACTTGCAAGAGCGTGCATGTTGTACTTTGATCTATTTAATGCTTCGCTGAATGTCTCCATATTATCTGATAATATATTCATCCCCCTAATATTGCGTAGGAAGAGTTTAGCAAAACAGTAAACATACGAGCGAATTGTAAAGAAAGCCACAAATAGCCGCTGTTTATAATATAAAAGTCGATGTGGAAATATGAAACCGCGAACGACTCATATTACTATGTATACAGTCAAGTTGCAAAAGTTGCCGCTTGTTAATAACTCCTTAATTAAAGAACTAGCTTTTAACCCTGGCTGATTTTGATCATGGCCTGCAAACAAATTAACGTTTATACTTTATAGTAATATGACTAATGAGTAGTTGTTTGCGGTTAAATTGTACAAGAACCTAGGTGTCATCACTCATCAGATTTAATATAATATTCCAATATAGAATATAGGGAATAGGGAATATATAAATTTCAAGAAGGCTGTAAATGAATCGGCCTGCGTTGCAGGCGGTAATATTTAGAATTCCCAGTTCAGCCTAGCCTTCTCCGCAATTCGAGGGAAAACCCCACCGATAATTTTTTCGTGATTAGTTTTTAAAATTTTTTTATTTTTTCTATTTCCCTCAGTACATGTAATTTTCGTTTATTACTTCACGCATTCTGGTACCCAGAGCCCTTCTTACGCGCGGTGCGACGAGGGGCTCTGGCCAAATCCAAACTTTTGAGTTCGCCCCTCTCGGTACGTCCGGGGTTTACTTTTGAATACTAAGCTTGAATATGTGAGAAGTGAGTTATAATGAGCCATTAAAACGATGAATAATATCACGACAGTCGGCAGTATGTGTTTTAATCGTCGCTCTATATAACTAATGTTGAATATTATAATGGACTATTATTTGCAATTTACTATCTTCAAATAGAATAAAATCTAAAAATTAAAAACCTAGAAACCTAAAAATATAAAACCTAAAAATCAAGAACCTTAAAATCAAGAACCTGAAAATCAAAAACCTGAAAATCAAGAACCTGAAAATCACGAAACTGAAAATCACGAACCGAAAAATCACAAACCGAAAAATGTAAAAGTGAAAACGTACTTAGGTGTCGCGTCTGGGCTTCCGTAACTTTGTCACAACGTTTATACAGCTCGAACGGACAAACCGAGGCCACTTTTGCATATTTTTTATGTTTTCAAACTATTTAACAGTTATTCTACGGAACTCGAGTCGAATATGAGCTGATAGCCGATGAGGCGCGTATAGCGCCGAATCGGCTATCGCTCATATTCGACGAGAGTGAGCCAAGAACAACACATAGCGCCTGGGTACGAGGCTGCTAATATCCTGCTAGTAGAGAACCAATCAGATTGCAGAATACCTCATATCCAGACCTTGTGTATATAATAAACCCAATTATTATACATTGTAGTTGGTAAAAGCAATTTGATTGGCTAAGAGCTTAAAATAGGCAAAAAGCTCAAATAGGCAAACCGAAGCCGTTTTTGCGAATTTTTAATGTTTTCAAACTAATTTCCCCTGCCATCATGCATGGCTCCTAAAATTAAAACAATGGAAAAGATGAAAAATATAGATTTTAATTTTGAAAATCAAGTAATTTTAATTTTAATATTAATTTTGAAATCTAATTTTAATTTTGAAAATAATTTTGATTTTCAAAATTAAAATCTATATTTTTTTATCTTTTCCATTGTTTTAATTTTAGGAGCCCATGCATGATGGCAGGAGGAAATTAGTTTGAAAACATTAAAAATACGCAAAAACGGCTTCGGTTTGCCTATTTGAGCTGTAAGATAATATTACGAACAACAATAGTTAACGAATAGCGATATCGAAGTCTCACCGGTTTGCCGGTAATAAATTTGGTAAAAAAAACTGACGCTGAACCAAGTTTGCGTGCATATACAATGCAGTACGCTACGCTAACGCTGCGTGCATTTTGATGCCCTTCAGTTGCGTACATATATACTAAATGGAGGACCCCCATATCGATTCTTTAGACATGGTCATCATAGGACGGTGGGAGACTCCTTTAGGAGTGGGAAGGATATAAATAATGAAATGTTCAGATGATTCCTAGTTTCTTTCTAGCCAAACGGTGTGCTTTCAGAAAGTCTATGAACGTTACTTCACATAAAAACTGCATGGCGTTTAAAACACACTAAATCTTTACATCTAGCGACGACTACATACGTAATGTTTTTCGTCTGATCATCCTTGCTATATATGTAAGGTTCAGCACAATTCTTATCGTCTTTAAAACACGGATAAGCAAGCACTTGCAAAGTTATAAAACCAACGTTCAAACCTTTTGTCTTCACGAATATCAATGAATAAGCAATGCATCTCAATAACAAATAAAAAGAGTACCAGTTAGGCCCCCGCCCGCTGTTGCGGATTACTTGTCTTTAAACAACGTTTAATTATTGTTAAAAATCTTCATATTGACATTTAGGAACATTGCCAAGATGATACTAGAACTAATAATATGGACACTCGTTATTGCATCGACCATTTTCTTGTTGTTATGGAGACTGATCACGCCACCAAAAGTTAAGATAGTAAGAAAAGCTCCTGAAAACGAAGACTTGTACGCTAAGAGTCGTTTTATTCCTTCGAAAGTCCCAAACAATGTTGATGTAATTATCATTGGTTCCGGTATGGGTGGGGGAACGGCCGCATCAATCCTGAGTAAATATGGCAAGAAAGTTGTTGTGTTGGAACATCATGATAAGTTAGGAGGATGTACGCACACATTCTCTTGGTCCCGACAGAACATGTATGAGGAAGGACACACTACTTGTGAATTCGATACAGGTTAGTTCAGTAAATCTAGTATTCTTTGGTTGTTTTTGTTTATCACATTACAGTGGTATTTGATTGCAACTATAGGCCCTTGAGAGTTGTGGGATTTTCAAAACAATGAGAAGAAATGGAATAATCCGACCACTGAATAGCATAGGAGGCCCAATAGATCGTTGTAATAGCAAAACAATTAAAATTGTTTGAAATTCAATAATTATTACACGGTTACGATTTCCGCCTGATTCATAATTTGCAATTACGTTACTGCATGTGAAAATCTTTTAACAACTGTCGTCTAAGCAATACTAGAATACTGACTGAGGTCTATCATTGATTACCATATATACAAGGCGTTCATGCAGTTTTAATACTATGCATCATATTATATATTTTCTCTCAAATAGTTACTGCAGAGCATAAAATTCATTTTGATAACTATCATTTGACCAACAGCTGCACGATAATTCTTAGTTCTGAAACATATCTATCGCAGTTTGTGGTTTAACTCCAACACGTTGGTTTGGATATTATCAGGATTTTATCGGATTCTACCGTATCTACAAATCTACCTTTTAAGATATGCGTGCTTTAAAGACTATTAATAGTCCTTTAAAAGACGATTTATTTCGAAAATGATTTGTATTTATTTTCGACCATAAGCGTACGAGGCGGGGGAGCGGGAAGCAAGGGGGTAGCTTCCCTTAGAAAAATTGAAGTTGAGCATATTATAAATGTAAGTCGGGCAAAAGGATGCCAGAATGTGCTGTTTCGCAAATTTTCCTCCTCCCCCCGCTGGACGTTTGATAAGCCGGGCAAAATAAGAAAACGTCGGGAAAATACGAAAAAGTCTCCACCCCCCCCCCCCTAATTTTTCCCTTCCGTACGCCTATGACACTATGTTTTCGTCTGTAGACTTTTAGGCTTTTAGCCACAGGCTAATGAG